AAAACTTATCCATGCAGTATACATGACTTTCCCTACCTCCCCAGTGACCGCCTTTTCCCTCGTTATAACAGCTCGAGCAGCCTCCGCACTGCCGACCAACGTCTGCGGTGCCTCCGTCATAGGGCGCTTGCCTGACCGCCATACAATCACCGCCAACGCAGTCCACTTATTCCCCACCAGTTGTGCCCGAGATGGGTGGAGGAAGAGGCAACTCGTCATCCTCAGGTTTGAAATCTATAGTCTCCACCACGACAAAGGCATGCCAGTCAACAGCAGCCATTTGCACTCTAACACACAACAATAGGACATTCCTCCTCAACCACCACCACCGAGAGAGCAGTATTGGAGGAGAAATGCTTGTTGGCTTCCCCAGGCTAAACTCCAGGGAAACTTTTGAGGTAAAAAACATTCCTTACTTTGAGAGGTTTTATAAGGAAAAAGAGGTTCTTATAATCTTGCATGCTAAGCTGGGGTGTTTCCTCACTAGTCACGGCATGCACAAGTTCACACACCAATTAGGGTAGAAGGATCCTCACAATTTTCACATTCTCACCAACACATGAGGTTGTCGCTAACTGTTACTCATTGTACATACGATACAGCCTCAGATTTACTGTCGTTAATGTCGATTCGATACTATAAAGTGAGGAAAAAGAATATTTATACGTAAAGTAATTTTAGTATAAATTCTGATAAAAAATGGCGTATTTTCCGAGATTCTCGAAAATACTCCTCTTCTTCCACATCTACATATCAACTTCACACACACTGCACTTCCACTCACGACATGGAAAACATAATTCTCCATCGCCTCTTGCAGCTGAAGCCCCATAGTTGATACGCCCCCTACCGCTCCTCCTTCTCCCTCTCCTCCTTATCAGCCTTCCGCCGAGCCTCTTGCTGATCGTATTGAAAGCGTCCCATTACTCTATCCACCACTGCTTGCTTATTCCTAAATTCCACCCTTACTCCTCACCAACTCAGCAACTGCCTTCCTACTCAATATACGTTTTGATCCTCTCCAGATCGTCTGGTGGAGGCAACAGCGCTCTCGTGTAGCTGTCAACCAGAGCTTGGAAGTAGGCGAATAAGGGATGGTTCGGCTTCACGAAATCGAACTGAGGGTTGCGACTTTCACGCGCCGCCAAACCCTGGATACAATCATAACCTCACTACCTCAATAAGACACTCGCGCTCACCTGTAAGAATCGATTGCCATTCTTAGCCGTGAACTGTGCTGTGATCTTAATGATGTCCATATCGATCGGGGCGATAAAGGGATGATCAACCGTGTACACATCTGGTGGCGGCGGTTTAATCTCCCTAGCCATACCATCCATCAGCATCTTCCGCTCCTCCCTCTTCCGACGCTTCTCCTCCTAACAAAATGATTTCATATCATCATAGCATTCTCGCGGTTCGATTAGCAATCTAAATACAGGTTGCCCAGTAACATTGATACTAGAACTCCTAACTATTCAGTGAATATTTACTCACTGTCTACACCATTTCCGGGTCAAATTAATTTTTTCCGGGATTTTATCGAAACCATGGGTAAAATGTTAACGAAAATGGTAGAACATTAACCAAATGGGCAGAAAATCAAATTTGTCGCTAAAAATATTACATTTGTCAGTAAAAAATAAAATTTGTCAGTAAAAAATTAAATTTGTCGGTAAATATATAATTAGACTTGGAAAATTTCCACTAGGAATGTTTCATGTACTGTTCGCACATTGTACCACCATCATCCCTCGCCGAGATACCAGCATGAGTACAGCAAAGTCCCACCGAGCGGTCGCCGAGTCAGTCGTATTAATTGCCCTCAGATTTGCCTCGCCAACATGGGGGTTTTTCAAAAAGATCTCCGAGTAGAGGTTCTATCCTATTCATATCACTTATCATTTCAAACTGTTCAGCCCTGCTCTCTGGAACGGAACTCCCCACGAAACCATCAACATCACAAATTTTCGAGTATATATTATCGACAATTTCAACAGTAAGCCCACCTCCTTCTTCTTATAATCCTCCAACTCCTTAGGCATTGCTGGACCCGACTCCCCTTTGACCCCCTCCCTCAGTTCAGCCACCCTATGTTCGTAATATCTACATCAACCACTTCACTCAAATACTCCCCATGAAGATAGCACTACCTCCTATAGGGATTCCCCGGTGCCAAGAAGGCGAACTTAGCCTGCTTAGCCTGCTGTACCATAACCCTCCTCTCAAACTCATCACCATGCTTCGCCACGAACTCAGCCGTTTTGTCAATCACAGATTTTATATCAGCAGGGGGGTAGATGAGAAGAGCGTCATTCTGCTGTACTCCTCCACCTCGGCCTAAGTTCATCACAAACTCCAACGCTAATATTTGGAAAATACAGTCCATACAGAACTGTATGGACACGTACAAGTGTAATCGTTGTCGCAGAATATACACGCGAGTAGTTATATAGGAGTTGTATTAGAAATGCACTTTTTTATCACCAAGTGTTGATTTGATGGAAAAAAGCAGCGACGGTGTATATGTTCGCTTTCCTGAGCTCAGGAATTTTCCCACTGATTATACCAGTTTACACACCGAATCAGATAGCAATAAAAACTTTCCAATCTTTTCTCCGGATTTTCATATTGCCGACTACACATGTAGTTGACCATATGCGTATTTTACCGCAGCGATGAAGAGTAAAATGTCCCCCTGAATTCGTCAACACTCTCTCCTGGCTCGAGAGTTCCACCTCAGAATTCCAACTGCAACGTTCACGTAAATAATTTCCAAATAAATTTCCAATTTTATTAAATTTTTCAACTAACATTTCCAGTCCAACCCCTTCCCCCCTTTCCAAAACTACCCTTGGCCAACTCCATCGCAGCTCGAGCCGCCGATTGCACCGCTGATGATGACATTATTACTCTAGCCACTACTGACAATATAAACACACATAAAAGGCCCCCTCCCCCTCCAACAACACCACACGATGCATAAGGCACATCCGACAAGCACCCATAGGGTCCTATTCAAATGGTAATGTCCGCTACGATCGGGTCGAAGACCGACAGAAACTCATCCTTACATACTCGCAACTTGAGGTCAATATGGCCGCCACCTATAGACAACACTTCATATTCTCGCATAGCAGTAGACAATACCTAGCCAGAAGTCTTCATAGGGTAAATCATCGATAATCCTATCAGAGATGATGATGGGCATTTTAGTGGTCATACCAATACATGTAACGGCGTTGTGAGTAAACCTATACAAAATCACCCTTCTGATCGATTCAACGTCGTCCACGAGGCATCATCGACGAAGACACTATCCCTTACCCCGATAGCTTCTGCGACACCTCCGGCTCCACCATGCGCATATTGAAGGCCTTCCGACCAGCAGCAGGTAACCCCATCCGCTCTGTTTCTATCCGACGAACCGCAAAGCCCTAAAAGTTATCAATACCACGCTCCATCCAAGTCCCCTCGAATCACACCCTGCCACCCTATGAAGTCACAAAACCAATCGAAGTCCTCATCTCCATAATACCACATTGAGTAATACAAAATTCACTCAGTGATGCCACCAACAATGCTCGTACAGAAGTAAACAACTATAAAGATTTTATGAATATCTTCACAAACACTCTAAAACCGACAACACCCACTCCCAGAGACAACTAAGACACTTCTGCTGAGCATTCTCATGCTATCACTATAGGTATTATCACTCAATGTAAGGCAATATAAATATGTACTACTACTTGAGCTTATAGCACTACATACAATATAGTAAATATAATGGCGTTTCACCCGTTCTACGTGAAGTGGTGAAAAACGCGATTTTCGCGGTGACACGCAGTAGTCGTGAAATGTGTTTTGCACTGGTGTTTTTCATATCACTAGAGTGGAACTCCAATATTACTATATGGTAAATAATACAACTTTAAGACTGCCCCTTACCTATCAACTGTAACCGCCAAGTACTAAACTCTCACATATGAGCTCCCCCATGAACCCACCAGTTTCTCCTTATGGAGCCTTTGACCATATTGGACCACTACTGCCACATACCTCAACCGTTTCTTCGCTGCCTCCTCATCCACATGATTCAACTTAACATTTTCCATTATCAACGTCTTACACAACTGGTCCGTTGAGGGGATCTCCAATACCTGATGCATTCACCATCGATATCCACAGGTCCAAAGAAAAAGATTCAAAACAGGTCCGAAACCGATCAACTTAGCACACCGCGCTACATAACGTGCCTAATAATCCGATTCTCCCATATACCACTACTGCATATTCAACCTATTAAATTGCAAAGCGCCTCTCTGCCCTACATTTTTCCGCCACTCTAGAGACTGGTCATAGAAATCACCGGGCACCTGCCTCAGCTCGAAGTCCCTCAAGCCAGCATCCTTACAAAGACCATTCATCTTACTCTCGACCGACGATATCGCCGAACTAGCCCTCCTTCTACTAGGAGACGAAGAAACATTAGGAGCCATGGAGGAGAGGGAGAGGGAAGGCAATCACTAAATCACTCACATGAGCTTCCCTTCCACCCTACTCTATACGTCATAGTGAAGGCTTAGTGTTAGGCTCCTATAACCTACAGTTATCGTCTGACCATAACATGAGTCTAACCCCTAAGATATGTATCACACGATCCTGTCTAATACAACTGATTACATATCGCCTCCTCCCTCGCTGTTGTCCCCTACACATCTCGGCAAGTAAGCTCCACGAGCGACCCCACCATCAGTCCATCAACCACACAGGCGGCAGACCAAAAGGAAGACCAGAATTCACAACAACAGCATCATCACCATACCCCAACACCAGCCAACTTTTCCAATAGAAACCATCTAATTTGTATGCATGTGCACAGCCTCATAGGAACACTTAGTAGACTA